AATGCAACGTCTTGGTGCATAATAACCCGCGTTTATGGTGCATGTATGGTGTTTAGAGGCACATGCATATAAAATCATGCTATTGGCTAGAATATTCATACGCATGCACACATGTGAATTATGACAGTAAGTTCCTCTCCGAATGCAGGTTTGGGCCGCTGAATACTGCTCTAAAGTATGGATCTAAATGCCACAATGTGCAAGGACACGTTGGCTGAACTAGAGCTGTGTTCAGAGGTATAATAAAAAGAACGAAATGTCTCTAAAAACAGCATTTTTCTGCCCATGTACATGAGGCCTTAGACAGTTGTCACTGGAACAAGTTGCCCCAACTGGAAGATTTCCCCAGGGATGTGCAAATCCTATTGGCCTATGAATGGGACATGAAGTTTTATGCGCCGGGCAGGCCTTCTGTTTTCTACATTTAGCCTTACTGCGGTCAAGCCGCCGCTCGCTTTGTACAAGTGATCTGGATGATTGGAGTAGCAAAATGTTGCTCTTTCCTTCACTTTCAGTCACAGTGACATTGGTTACCCAATGGTCACCATCAACAAAAAGAGAGGATGTATCTCTCGAGTCACAAATCTCACCACGCTACCCAAATCTCAAATATGTACATTTAGGGCCTATTTATACCTGGCGTGTGCCTGAACATGCGCAGAAGTTTTGCACATTTTGCAGCGCATCCGCATAGGGCAGCCTATTTATTTCAATGATAGAGAAGACAAGAAATACAGAAGCGCACTACCAAGTGGTGACTGAGCAAGAAAAAATAATAAGGGAATAATGGAATGAGACTTACCAGGGTGTGGGTACTAGCGCATTGTCAGCGACGAAGTGTGGATGAATTGGGAGTCCAGGGTTGCTGGTGGTGGTGGGCAGGGTAATGTGGCAATAGTTGGTGCTGGGAAGAATAAGATGTCAAAGGGGATCTGGGTCAGACGTTTAGTGTGGCAGGGATCTGAGGGGGGGGCAGGCTCGGGTTTGGGAGAAGGACTGTCTGTCTGAAACGTGCTGGCTGCTAACGGATGTGTGCCTGAGAACTGTGGGTGTGTGTGTGTGGGGGGGCGCGGTGAACAGTTGATGCTGTCAGGCAGGGAATGTCCGGGGGAAGCCAATGGTGAGGAAGATAGCCTGGAGGTGGATGTTGAGGTCGGGGTGAGACTACACCGCTCGAGGGCACAAGCAGCGAGCCCGAAGCAGCGAGCGGTGTGTCTGTGAGGTACAACGGGTGAGAACGAGTGGCGGAGGTGGTGGGTGAAAGTGTTCAAACTGGCTACGCGTTTCAAAGAGCGGGTCTTCTTTTTCAAGCCACAGAGTGAGGGGCTTGTAAAACGTTGGACACCCTGGTCCGCAATTTTAGGAGCCGCACACCTAGTACCGCAACCGACATTGGTTTACCCTCACCTCAGGGGCATCGCTGCATTAGAGGACATTTCTCCCAATTTTTTCGTTATTTATTTCAATGGCCTGCCCTACACACGGTAAAAACAGTGAAGACGCACATACGTGTCTTTGCATGTGCATCTTGCTATTAACAATAATGCCACCATTTAATTACCAATGTAGATATCTGATACAGATTCTGTAGGTGGGTGAATTCAGCAAGTTCCATATATCAAATTTTTTTTTTCAAACAAACTTTATTCAGTTTTTCGACCACCCCCACATGGGGTATAGCCTTTTTAACAAATGAAGTGGCTTGACATACAGTTCTTGCATCTTGGGGTCGCTCATCGCATCCCCCAACAGTATATCTTAACTTCTCCTCTTCTAACATTCCCAACTAAAATTAACAATAACATTCCCCTGCTGGCTGCCATCTTTTTGTTACTTGTCAATTTCTAAACTCTACGTATATAATGCTCTTAATGCTCTTAAGGGTGTCAGGCGTGCTTATCAAAACAACATATAGGTTATACCTTCACATCTAAATTATACATTTTGTATTACACTTTATGGTACTTCCAGGACTCCCAGGCTATTGGACAGTTTGGCTTTAAGGTACCAGTCTAAATATATAAAGGGTTGCATTATGTGGATCAACTGCGCCCCTTCGAACTTGCTTCCACATAGTATTTCCAACGTTTGAAGAACCTAGTAGTTAGTGCATCCCCCTGCGTTTCAGTGTCCAGTTTTTCCCGGAGAAATACAATTTTCAGTTCTGAGGTGACCTTCGCTATTGATGGTGCGGAAGATGCATTCCAAGATCTCATTATGCATCTCCTCGCCGCTAGCAGGCATACATGAAGCCAGTCACTACCCTTGTAGGACGAGCAGTGCAGTTCCTCTGCCAAGTACTTGGGGATACTGAAAAGGTATAGCAATGGATTCAGACGTGGGGTCCACTTCAGGACTGTTTTGACATAGGAAGGCACGCTTGTCCAGAAATGCATCATGGAAGGGCACGTCCATAAACAGTGGGCCAATGATGGGCGAGACAGTCCACATTTGGGGCACAGGGACAGCAGTTGCTGCGGAGTCGCTCCGGTGGGGAGGAAGTACGCCACATAAGCCCGATGCATTATTTTAAATTGAGTCTCCCCCCAGGTTTCCATATATCAATTTTAATCAGCCTCTATGCCTGTGTAACTCATGTGCAAGCTCTTGTGTAACTTGCATGTAAAAGTGATGATTTAGCAGCTCTGCCATGTGCTCATACCTCTGTATACACTCATATGTTTTGTCCAACTGCTGGCAGGTTGAATCAGTCATCTGCTGCCCACATTTCTAGGTGACAATGTTGAGACTGCTGCTCCACCTACTCCATGTGACAATTACAATCAGAGTGTCCAGTTCATCATTTTATTTACTGGTGTGTCTCAATGATACAGATCTCATCATTTAAAGCCTTGATTCTCAACTGGTGGGTAGTGACCCAAAAAGTGGGTCGCGACCCGGTGATCAGTGGGTCGGCATGCGCCTTCCACTTTTCTAGGTGAGAGACTTCTCAGCCTCCCCCTAGCGCAGCGCGGTCAGTTCTCGTGCCAAGCAGCCATTCATATGCTGCTCGGCACCAAGTGTCAGCTTGAGGTTGGGTGGGCAGGAGCTCCATCCATACGTGCATTGCTTACAGCTTCCTCGCATGTACTATAGAGGTGCCTGGACTGGGGTGATGCCACGTTCTGGCTCCTGGCACCTCTACAGGGCACGCAAGGAAGTTGTGCAAGCAATGCACATATGGATGGAGCTCCGTCACAGCACAGCAGCCCACACTTGACCCCAGGCTGAGGATCCACACCAGTTCTCGAAAGGTAGGGAGACTGGGTGGAATCAAGCAGTCCTGTGTGATTAACACACTGTATCGTGCAACTGCACCTACTACGCGTTCTGGTGTGGGAGGTGCGTTGCGTTGCCATTTATTTGAATGGCACCCCAAACACAACTCCTGCCCACAGTTCATTCGCCCGCAGCGGAACGCTCGGTATCACAATGCTGTGCGTTCCATTTCAGTGCGACTTGGGTCGCAATAATGACCAAGGACAAATGTGGGTCCTGAGGTTACATAGGTTGAGTACCATTGATTTAAAGGAAAGGGTTGGTAACCCTCATTTCAATGTCCTGCTTTCCCTGTTGGATTGTTCTTTTTCCGTGTTATAATAGCAAGACTTTTTGGAGGGTAGGTGTAGAAGCTGCGGCAGAGGACAGTAACAACACTTCTCAGTCTGATTATGTAATGATAACGAGGATAGAAGTTTGACATTTTAGTTGGACATTTTTTCATCCCTTTTTATTAGGTAAAATAAATTCCACGATATAAGACACTGACATTTATAAAATTGTATTTGATATTTATATGTGTACACAATATAACTGAAATGTGTGTGTTTTATCCTTTGTTATACAAGACAATTCAACTAACCTTTTGTGACACATGGTTATTATTTGGGCTCAATGTGAAAACAAAACGGAACCTAAAATCTGTGCAATACTGATTCCAGTGTGTCCCACATAGTACACATAATATGCAACAGACATAAGAGTACCTGAGTCCCCAACGTGGAGTGCAGCCGGTATCATGAGTGGGTAGTGCAGACACAGGGGTATAAACACTCCTGAGGAATGGCAGTGCAGGTACATGGGGCAAGGGCACTTCTGAGGGACTAGCAGTGCAGGTATGGGGGGGTATGGACACCTCTGAGGGACTGGCAGTGCAGGTACATGGGGTATGGGCACCTCTGAGGGACTGACAGTGCAGGTACAGGGGGTATGCGCACCTATGAGGGCCTGGCAGTGCAGGTATAGGGGGTATGGGCACCTATGAGGGACTGGCAGTGCAGGTACAGGGGGTATGGGCACCTCTGAGGGACTGGCAGTGTAGGTACATGGGGTATGGGCACCTATGAGGGACTGGCAGTGCGGATACAGGGGTTATTGGCACCTCTGAGGAACTGCCAGTGTAAGTACAGGGGGTATGGGCACCTGAGGGACTGGCAGTGCAGGTACAGGGGTCATGGGCACCTCTGAGGGACTGGCAGTGCAGGTACAGGGGGTATGGGCATCTATGAGGGACTGGCAGTGCGGGTACAGAGGGTATAGGCAGGCACCTATGAGGGACTGGCAGTGCAGGTACAGGGGGTATGGGCATCTATGAGGGACTGGCAGTGCGGGTACAGAGGGTATAGGCAGGCACCTATGAGGGACTGGCAGTGCAGGTACAGGGGGTATGGGCATCTATGAGGGACTGGCAGTGCGGGTACAGAGGGTATAGGCAGGCACCTATGAGGGACTGGCAGTGCAGGTACAGGGGGTATGGGCATCTATGAGGGACTGGCAGTGCGGGTACAGAGGGTATAGGCAGGCACCTATGAGGGACTGGCAGTGCAGGTACAGGGGGTATGGGCACCTATGAGGAGCTGGCAGTGCAGGAACAAACATTTCTCAGCCCCTCTACCATCACAGCTAAGACTTTGGAAACATCTGGGAGATTCCACGTCACTGCGCTGAGCTATGCGCGGATTGGCTAAGGCGGAGGGGAGCCGCGATTGGCTGAGCGGAAGGATGCGTCAGGCGCCACGTCTGCAGCGGCCGCAGATTGAAGTGTGAGCCAGCCGAGCAGCGGAGGGAGATCCGTCACCGGGGCTGTAAAAAGGCCAGTCATCGGGGGAGAGAGGTGGAACGGAGCCGGTGAGTGCGAGCAGAGGAGGGCACCGAGGGGCAGGGCGGGAGTGATGGAGGGGCCTGGGGAGCTGCAAGGACTGTGTGGTGGACTGTTGCCAGAAGATGCTCAGTAGGGACTGTGTGATATACTGTCAGGGACTTGGTGGCAGACTGATGCAAGCTGAGACACTCTCAGGGACTGTATGCTGGACTGCTGCAATGAGACATCAGGGACTTTAACATGGACCATTGCCAGCATATTTGTGTCATGCACTGGACCAAGTACTGTAGGTAGCAGATAATCTAAAGTATTGTGGACTGTATGATGAGCTGTTCCGCATGGGACTGTGTCATGGACCACTGCAAGCAGATGCACTGCTAAGGATTTTGCTTTTGCATCATTGCATGCAGGTGAAGCATTATGGTCCATAAGATGAACTATTGGCAGTGTTTAGTAGGGACTGAGAGTAGTCTTCTAATGCAAGGAGTAGGAATGATGGGCAGACAGATGCAGTACTATGAAGGACTATTGCAGTATGTAGCAGTAGGGACTTACTGTGCCAGGGCAAGGTCTTTTAGTACCCAAGGCTAAAGTTTACCCCCGTGAGCTGTGTTCTACCCCATCAGTATAGGTTGTAGGTGCCCCTTTTGTGTCCCCTACCTGCAGAAGTGCCCTAGGTGGCTGCCTCTCCTGCCTACCCCTCGGCCTGGCCCGGCCCTGGGTACTATGATCCTTATGCGTAATGGGAGGTACTGTGGACCGTTGTCAGGGGATAGCAATGAGCTATAATAGGTGCAGGATAGTGGCACCATGGATCACCGTAGGGAATGTGAGGTGGACTGGCCCCGTTAGTGATTATGTGATGTATTTTCATTTTGGTAGGAGAAGGAAGGGTAGGATGGACTGCTCTAGGTGCATGACATCGCATGGGCTACAGGCTGGGGCCAGTGTAAGCAGATCCACCAGTGCGTGTGTGATAGACAATTACTACTCTGCCTGTCAGCACCAGAATTTGGGTCCTATGAAACGTTTCAGAGGTCCTCATATTGTTAGAAACTTTCTCTGTGTGATGGAGTTCTACTGAGAAACTTATTTTTGGACAAAATGAAATCTGAGGGTCCCAGAAAATGGGGCATCAAAACTTTAGATCCTAGAAGTTTGAGCTCCATTGTACCATTTTAGGGGTTACTAATAGGGATTGAAAGATGTAAGTGTAGGTATCAGTAGGGACTGTGACATAGGACAGTCCCAGTGTGGGTACCAGCAATAGTGTAGAGCAGTCTTTCCCATCTAGGGTTCCTCCAAAAGTTCCTCGAGCAGTGAGCAATATTTTCCCTTCAGCTAAATAACCACTGATACCAGTGATCTTCTTAGCCGTTTATAAGGGGGCATTCTTTGAATGAACCATTAATGGGAGGGGGACCTTCTCCCCCCCTGGCGGCCAATGGGAGGGGGACCTTCTCCCCCCCCCTGGCGGCCAATGGAAGGGGGTCCTTCTCCCCCCCCCTGGCGGCCAATGGAAGGGGGTCCTTCTCCCCCCCCCTGGCGGCCAATGGAAGGGGGTCCTTCTCCCCCCCCCTGGCGGCCAATGGAAGGGGGTCCTTCTCCCCCCCCCTGGCGGCCAATGGAAGGGGGTCCTTCTCCCCCCCCCTGGCGGCCAATGGAAGGGGGTCCTTCTCCCCCCCCCCTGGCGGCCAATGGAAGGGGGTCCTTCTCTCCGTCCCCTGATGGCCAATGGAAGGGGGTCCTTCTCTCCGTCCCCTGATGGCCAATGGAAGGGGGTCCTTCTCTCCGTCCCCCGACGGCCAATGGAAGGGGGTCCTTACCGGCGGCCAATGGAAGGGTTTTTTTTCTTCTACTGATCGACCGGTGAAAGCAGGCATTCATCCCCTGACCTCTAATGTGAGGGAACACTACAATTTTCAGTGTGTCACTCCTAGCCAGTATTATTGATATGTCATATAATATTAATTTCATTATCACAGAAGATAATTTTGTTGTACAGAGCAGCCCTGCTATCAAATACACATAGTATAAGTACTTTCCTTATTCTTTCATTCTTATATCTTCAACTTGATGTGCATAATAATGTACCTGTAGATATCTTTATTAGTTGTGGATAGAATTTTTAGCAGAGGATCACTAAATCCTGAAAGTAAATTCAAGGGTGCCTCTATGTAAGAACAGTTGAGAGCCGCAGGTGTAGCGGCAGCAGCAGCATCATAAACTGTATGAAGGATTCCTCTAGTAGGTGATGGTATTATAGACTACGTGGTGGACCAATGCGATTTTTGCTTGTTCCTCCCTTCCTGCAGGGCAGCTAAATTTAGAAACTGCCCATTTTCTGGTTTGATTCCCACTGATCAGTTTCAGTGGAACTCTTAGAAACTTTTGATACAGTCTACATTTCAAAAGAACAGTAAAACCTTATGCAATTTGTTTTTTGGAATATAGAGTATATGATGTTCTTAGCGAGGTGGCAGTAGGGACCTATTTGATGGCTTGACCTTAGTGAGGGAATCAGAGGTGACTGTAGAACGTGGGTGGGCAACTCCGGCCCTCCAACTGTTGTGGAACTACAAGTCCCATGAGGCATTGCAAGGCTGACAGTAACATGCATCACTCACAGAGACAGAGGCATGTTGGAATCTGTAGCTAAAGCACAGATGGAGGCCCGGAGTTGCCCACCCCTGCTGAGGAGGCTGCATTAGGAAGTGAGCAGTGGACTGGTCTCAATGTGGTGACGATTAGGATATATTTGATGGCATGGTCCTGGTGAGGGCATCAGAGGTGACTGTAAAAGCTGCATTAGGAAGTGAGTGATGGACTGGTACCCAATGTGGTGACAGTAGGGACCTATTCTGATGGTTGGCCCTGGAGAGGGCACCAGAAATGACTGTAGAAGCCACATTAAGAAGTTCGAGATGGATTTGTCCCAATGTGGTGACGGTACTGACCTATTTTGATGGTTGGCCCTGGTGAGGGCATGAGAGGGGACTGTAGAAGCCACATTAGAAATGTTGTAGCTGTAGGGACTGTAGTATGGTCTGTCCTTGGTGAGATAAATCATGGTGACTGTAGAAGACCCAGTTCTGATGGGGTAACAATTGGTACTGCAGTGAAGATAATAGGGACTGTTTGATGAACTATGCTCCATAGTGTTGCTTTTGGCTTTACATAATCGGCAGATGTGAATAATCACAGTAGGGACTGGTTCCAGCATGGACCACATAGGGACTTTGTAATGAACAAGCCCCAGTATGTAGTCCATGGGGAGAGTGTGATGCAGTTGGGATGGTTTGGTTGGCCATTACTAGTGGACATTATTAGGCGCTTTGTAATGGGAAATATCAGGAGGGACTGTATCCAGCAAGATGGCAGTGTGGATAGTCTCCTAGTCCTAGCTGAGTCAGCAGTAGGGACTGTAAAGTTGAGGAAACCGTATGGCTCTGGAGAGTTTGTGATGGACTGTAATCCAGGAAATGATTCAGGAAGGGGTTAAATCAGGACTCTAGTCCAAGAAATAATCTGGCCATACACCAATAGAATTTTGTTATAAATTATTTTTATAAGGTTTGTTTAACATGTAATTGTTAATGGGCACTAATCAAGGATCGTTTTTGACTGCATAGATGCGAAAATTTGGCGGTTCGGGATGGAATTTGTTTTTGCTTGTTATCTGAATGGATGTAACTCTAACCATGAATGTAATTTCTATTCGGGAACAATCGTTCATTGTGTAATTATTATACAGGATTTATATAGCGCCAACTGTTTACACAGCGCTTTACAATATAAGGAAGACATAACAATTACAATACAAGACAAGATGGCAAGTAGGGCCCTGCCCCTGAGGGCTTACAATCTAAAGGGTGGGAGAAGTGATACATGAGGAGATAGCTATGTTGGGATGAATTGTTTGAGAATGTGATGTTTCAGTGGTCAGGTTGAGGTGGGTTAGGCTTCCTTGAAGCGATGAGTCTTAGGGATCGCCTAAAGGCAGTCAGAGTGGGAGATAGACGGACAGGTTGGGGTGGAGAGTTCCAGAGGATGGGAGAGGCTCTAGTGAAGTCCTGGAGGAGAGCATGGGAGGAGTTGACAAGGGAGCTGGAAAGCAGAAGGTCATTTGAAGAGCAGACGGTTAGGGTGATACTTTTGAGACAAGGTTGGAGATATATCCGGGCGCGGATTTGTGGATGGCTTTGTAAGTGATTGTTAATATTTAGAATTGTATCCTTTGGGCTATTGGAAGCCAGTGTAGGGATTGACAGAGGGGGGTTGCAGACACTGAGTGTTTGGATAGGTGGATGCGTCTAGCAGCTGCATTCATGATAGACAGCTACAGAGCTTGTTTAAACTAGAGTATACATTGGGACAACCTTTGGCTGGCCATACACTATACAATATCATTGTGCAATCTTTGCTTACCAAAACTATATAATATAAGGACAAACCTAAGCAGTCAATTCACTCCATCACTCCATAACCGATCAGGCCCATCCTTGTACTAGATACGTGATGGTAGTTCTAAGGCTGGGCACACACCTTACAACCATCGCAAGACTTTTGTCTTGCGATGGTTGTAAGGTAATTTAAAAAAAATGTACGATCTGCCCATCTTGGACAGGCAGATCGTACTTGCGATGATCGCAAGCCTGCCCCGCAGAGGGGCGGGCTTCCGATGACCGCAATGTCGAACGGGCAATGTGCGCTTGCGCACACTGGCCCGACCGGCTTTTATCTTACATGCTACACACCCGCCGAAAATCGTATGATTCTCGGCGGGTTTTCGAACATGTTCGTAAGATAAAAGTCGTGCGACCTTACAGTAGTAGAGGTCGCACGGCTTCCACACACCTTATGATAATCGTACAATCGCGGGATTTCCCGCGATTATCGCAAGGTGTGTGGGCACCTTAAGGGAGATTGTATGTATAGATTGTGTAGTGTATGCTCAGCCTTTCAATTGGTATTATTAAAAAGTAACGTGCAGACTGGATGTCAAACTTCATAAAAGATATCACTG